AACTTGCATTGTAAAATAGTTTTGAATCTTAGATTTATTTTTAGTATGATTGAAATACTCTGCGTAATCAGTGACTTTCCATTAAACTTCATACCCACACGAAATCATTTTTTTTTAATGATTTGTAGACATTTTTTAAGTTGCATTCGTATGTATGTGTCTTTCTCCTTAATACCAGAGCTGGAACAAACTGCAGTTCAGAGGATGGAACAAGCTACAGTACCGAGGCTGGAACAAGCTACAATACCGAGGCTGGAACAAGTTACAATACCGAGGCTGGAACAAGCTACAATACCGAGGCTGGAACAAGCTACAATACCGAGGCTGGAACAAGCTACAATACCGAGGATGGAACAAGCTACAATACCGAGGATGGAACAAGTTACAAAATCGAGGATGGAACAGGCTACATTATCGAAGATGGAACAAGCTACAATACCGAGGATGGAATAGACTGCAATACCGAAACTGGGACAAGCTATAATACCGAGTTGTTAGGTAAGACACATATGCAACAGTTAGGTATCTTTATTATGAAACGTTTCGCCTACACAGTAGGCTTCTTCAGTCGAGTACAGAAAAGTTGATAGAAGCAGAAGATACTTGAAGACGATGTAATCAGTCCATCACCCTTAAAGTTTTGAGGTGGTCAGTCCCTCAGTCTGGAGAAGAGCATTGTTCCATAGTATGAAACAATATGGAGATGAAGTGACAGGATGGAGCTTATATAGCGCCAAGAGGTGAGACGTAGGCCACTAGGAGAGGTAAGAACTCAGATGTTGAGAGGTCAGGTCCCTCTCAAATCCAGCCGCTCTCACTAGTGGAAGTTGTCGAAGTTGATTGCAGGTATGTACCAAGATACTCTTGTGTTGCAGTGTCTGACAGATTGAACATTAAAATGGTATAAAATACCGACAGGTATTTTATACCATTTTAATGTTCAATCTATAATACCGAGGCTGGGACAAGCTACAATGCCGAGGATGGAACAAGCTACAATACCGAGGCTGGAACAGGCTATAATACCGAAGCTGGAACAAATTACAATATCAAGGATGGAACAAGCTGCATTATCGAAGATGGAACAGACTACAATACCGAGGCTGGGACAAGCTACAATACCGAGGCTGGAACAAGCTACAATACCGAGTATGGAACAGGCTATAATACCAAGGCTGGAACAAGTTACAATACCGAGCATAGAACATGCTACAATACCGAGTATGGAACAAGGTACAATACCGAGGCTGGAACAAGCTACACTACCGAGGCTGGAACAAGCTACAGTACCGAGACTGGAACAATTCACAACTTGCACGGAATATTTTACAGAAAATATTAACCCACCCAGAACCATTATTAAATCGCGAACGCAAATGCTCCAGAATAGCCTGGAACGTCGTGTATAATTAGACATTATGATAGTTAATAACTAAGTAACGTCCAACGTTTCCTCCTAGAACTGTGTATTTCTTCTGAATCTCTTTCTATTGAAACGGGAAAATACTTTCTAGTTGACGTTTTAAGTTGTATTTATGATGTCTTACATACATATCTGGAGGGGGGTATACCTGAGGGGTTTTTGGGGTCAACGCCCCCCGCGGTCCTGTCCTTGACCCGGCATCGAAATATAGCAGGATTTTTTTGTGAATTTTTTGTAAATTTTTTGAGATGTACAACATAAAATACTAATGCAAAAGTGTAATAAACAGAATATTACACGAGGAAAAAACATGGGGAAAATAAAACAAACTCTAAGACAAGAACTTGATAATTAGATCAATAACTGCCGAAGAAGATTTCATTTCTACATCGAAATCAACAATACTAATCCAACCACTATTTAATTTTATTTCATGTGACTATATATATTCTCCGAGAAGACAATAAATAGCCATCTTCCACTGAGGAAGGTTGACTCGAGAAAAAAGACACTTTCAATGTTACTCTTTTAATCAATGTCTTGCCAGAAGCGTGCTGACATCACAGTTCAGATGACTTTCCTAACTACAATTTCCCTGCCCCTCCTTTAGAGGATAGGAATTGCATTTCCCACCTCCAAGACATAAGTCCTGCTAATCATTTTCCTGAATCTCTACGTAAATGTTACATTGCTCGCACTCCAACAGCACGACAAGTCATAAAACCCGCTTGCCTCCACTTATTCCTATTAAACGCACTGGCTTATTAATAGAGTTGTGGATGAGTGGAACGAACTCCTGAGTACCGTTATAGAAGCTAAGACGTTGTGGGTGTGGGTGGGTGTGAGTTGGACCTGAATAGCTTGTGCTACTAGGTCAGATGCCGTGCTCCTCCCTTAAGTGAATGTGACTGACCTGACTAGGTTAAGGCATTGGCTTAAGCCGGTGGGAGAATTGGACCTACCTCACATGGTCCACTAGGGCTGTTGCAGTGTTCTTTCTTTCTTATGTTCTTATGATGGGTGTTAAGCCTCTAGCACTCAAAACTTTCTTTACCCACTTTCCCCAATCTTTCCTGCCACCCCTAACACTTTCTTTCCTCCACCCCAAAATTATACACCCTCCTAGTCATCCTATTTTGCTGTGTCTACTCTGTTAGAACCACCCCAACAACCCATCCTGAGCACTTTCAATAATTTTATATGCGGATATTGAAATCTTACGGCAATTTAAAAGACCTATTAACCTCAATATCAGAAAACTCTAAACTACAAGCGCGCAATACTTGTTTTATCAATGAAGTGAAAACACTCCTTTTTACATGCTTAGGATGGTCCAAATAATAATGAATATATGGAAACACATCATTGGGTTTTCTATACATATTAAAATTAAAATCTCGACTTCATGTGTGAATCTCTCTATCACACACACACACACACACGCGCGCGCGCGCGCGCGCGATGTTAAGAAGTATTTCTTCAGCCACAGAGTAGTCAGGAAGTGGAAAGTTTAGGAAGCGATGTAGTGGAGGCAGGATCCATACATAGCTTTAAGAAGAGGTACGATAAAGCTCATGGTTCAGGGAGAGCGACCTAGTAGCTACCAGTGAAGAGGCGGGGCCAGGAGCTTGGACTCGACCTCTGCAACCTCAACTAGGTGAGTACAACTAGGTGAGTACACACACACACACACACACACACACACACACACACACACACACACACACACACACACACACACACACACACACACACACACACACACAGTCAATCCACGCTGTTTTGTTTAAAGCATCTAGTTCAAAGTAGAATAGAATTAAAATGGTGCATTGCCTTTCCCGGGCAGCCTCATAACTAAAGCACCACGTCACTGGAATTCAAAATATATAGGAAGCCAGCTCATGTAGCCAACTATGTTCATTAATATGTAGTAGTTTCATGTTTCTTCTTGCGTGGGTCACTGTGTATTTGGTCCCAGATGCATTTGGACGAGGAATGCAATATTAAGAAAGTTAGCTACCTAAATTGTTTTCCACAACACGTTAAAAATGCAGTTACTGAAATGATAAATTCAGCATATCATGACAACAACGAATTGCACAGAGTACAAATCCACAACTTTGCCAACTTAGCAAAGAGTGTACAAGCTATCTTTGTTCACTCTGTGGCTGAAATGGTTTGGTTTTGGAAATGACGTACCAGAGATGCAGTTCGGTCCTCAGTAGTCCTTCCACAGTTTAAAAGTGATGTATTGTATGTAAAAATGTTGACAACGAAGATAAAATAATGACTTTTGTTCGTCTAATAATTTTAATATTAAATATTTCCAATCTTAAAAATCATATAATTTTAATTACTGAAAGTTTTTAATGATAGTATTGTATTAGAAAGTATTTAATTGCAAAAAAGAACGCGATGTAATAACCTATAGCGATTTACATTTGCAATATTAACCCTAAACTAGCGGAGATCTAACAGGTAGACTCACTAAATTGCTAAAAACTATTTCTGCATGTTTTCTACCTCAGTCAGGTCTCTAAGAAACATATAGATATATTGTACCAGTGTTTCAATAGCCTGTCCTAATAGTGTCTCCCTTTCTCACAAAGCGTGTCCAGTGCAAGAATCAAAATTTTGTTTGGGTCACCAGTGAAACATTCCATCGTGAAAATTTCAGTTACAAGGGGAAAATAGGTGCACGAGTTAGTACACAGAAGGTACCTACTGTGTAATGTATCTTAGAGCCTCACACACGAGGAAACAAAGTTTTTTATATTCTGATACTGACTCATACCGGATAAAACTACAGTGTAAAAACCAATCAATGACTTCAGGTGGAAAGTTATGACTTGCCTACAAGTATCGTAGAAATATGTTATAGGAAAAGTAAACCTTTGTTTAAAGCATCGTTTTGCTCCTCCTAACAGAGCTTTAAGTTCAGATTTCCAATGCGGAGACAATTTTTTGTTTCAGCAATAAATACGTTGGCAATTTCTATAAAATTAAATAAATATAACACAAATGTTACGACAATTAAAAAATGTTAAGGCGAAAAAGACAGTTTGCATAACGTGTTGTATCTATGTAGACAGAAACATCGTCAAAATAAATCTTCTCGAACCTATTTTTTTTTTCTCTCTGTTGTTGTCGGTGGTACAGTGTGTGGATCCAGTCACCAGATGTTAAATCTGTAAGTCTTACATTAAATTTTGTCTTATTTCGCATTCTGGTCTTGAGCATAACAAAGCAGCGGCGAATAACATTAAGGATGCTGTTGCATACCAACTCTGACCAGTTGTTCTGAGGTGAATCACTGAAGTTCAGTATCACCCGACCTTAAGTTCCTCCCCATTAAGTTTTCATTATGCACAAGGCTATATATAGGATGGAAGGAAAAATGAAGGAGGTGTTCCTTCAGTTAGTAAATTATAAGCATTAAGTGGCATTAAATGAAGTTTTGTGTCATAATAATAATATAGTAGGATCATATTACACATCAACATTCATCAATTTTTTTAATTTTTGGAAAGAAAATGTGAATTTTCTTTCAAGGTACTGTACTAGTTTACAATAGCCTATTTGGCATCATGTTTGGCCCTGGATGTGAACCTGGTCACTGGTACTGTGGGTATATAAGGCGCTTCAGCATTCCTCTCTTCATCAAGTCAGAGACTGCCTCGCCACAACCAACATTATGGTAAGATCTTGTTTAAGTATTTTGATGAAAGGGTTTCTGTGAGTTGTAAAGTTGAATTCATTTATGGCTAAGACGTGGAGTGGAGGTTGCCTTGGTCCTGGTGATGTACTAGTGTTCCAAGCAATATGAGCTACCCTATTTTTCTTCTGATCGAACCCCATTAGTTCCCATTTACCATCTAAGCATTCCCAGGCACAGTATAATGAGTAGGAGTTCCTATAAATTTAATGACGATAATAATAATAATGTTCCTTGAATGATACTCGTTATGTATTTTTTTTATGTATGTTTATGTAGCATTATGAAAAGAGCAAATGACAAAAATTTTTACAAAGTAGAATCCGGTACGTATGTTTTGAAATAATACTCGTTGTCATTTGTTCCAAAATGAAAATCCCGTCAAAAAGCTCTTGATCTGAGGAAATTGAGCTACTCATCTTCCTTGGATCGAGCGTGCTCTATATAACCCATGCATCATTAACACTTCCCCTTATACATGTACTCAAAACTAAACTATTTCGTCGTTTTCAGAAGCTGTTGATAGTGTCTATAGGCGTGGCCGTCTTGCTGGCTTCAGCACAAGCCGCTCCAGAAGCGACTACCATTTCCTCCTCCACTATAGGAGGTGGAGGCTATGACTACTCCAGTGGAGGCATCACAGGAGGCTCCGGAAGGATTTACGATCCATCAGGAGTCGGAGTCACTTCTCATTCCTCTTTCACCCTTGGAGCGCCTCGTAGCGGCTATGTAGGCAGCGTTGGAAGTGGTTACAACGGCGGCTTTGGACATGGTTCCTTTGACGGTTTTGGACATAGATCCGTTAGTGGGTTTGGACTTGGCTCCAATGGTGCCTTTGGACTTGGCTCCAATGGTGCCTTTGGACTTGGCTCCAGTGGTGCCTTTGGACTTGGCTCCAGTGGTGCCTTTGGACCTGGCTCCATTGGAAATCTTGGATACAATCCCAATGGCAACCTGGGATTCAGATCCAGTGGCACCCTTGGACTGGGATCCAGTGGCATCTTTATACATGATCCCCACAGGAATTACAATGGACTAAGCACTGTTGGAAATTTTAGAGACGACTTTCTTGGAGGGGGATTACGAAGTGGTCCCATTGGAACAGGTTTCGGAAGTGGTTACACTGGCATAGATTACAGTGGGGGTTCCACTGGCTACGTTAACGGCGGCTACAGCAATGGCTTCGGTAGACCTACTGGAAGTATCACCTTTGTGAAATAAACATTGAAGTAGGTAATGCATTACGTCTAGAACAATTTAAGAATTCTCTCCCGTCCTCACATTTTAAAAATCACTTTCATTTGAACACAAATGTGTTTGATTTGCAGTGAGATGTGGTGCACTCACAAATCAGTGAAACTGACAGTTCCACATCACAATGTCCTTACTGATACATCTATTTAAGTCGACTCATACATTACTGTATACTTTTTTAAATTTTATGTATATCAATAATAAATTATATAAATGCATTTGCGTATTATTTTAGAATAAGGTCTCTGTCTTTGAAAATAAATGATTATGTACATGAATCAGTACCTTCAGATTAGGTCTGATTCTTTTGAAAACAAGTGAAAAAATGTGAGCAGTAAATGAATCTTTTAGTATCATAAAATTCATTATAAAGGAAAAAAACAGGGCAATGATCAGGTGCATGTTTTAGTCTTCCTTCAAGGAAGGCCAGGAGACAGGGGTGCCTTGATGCTGGTAACCCGTTCTTGAACCAAAGAATTTTACCAACCTTGCTCTTCCTGGAATCAAATCTTATTGCCTCCCATTCTCCAGGCGCTGTAAGACATCTTACTTCATTTTGATCTTAACGTTTTGTATTTTTAGATGCGACTATTTGCATTCTATGTGGAAATCTTAATTAGAAAGGGTGGGGGATGAATTTTAATGTAGACTGGATGCCTGTGTAACAAATACTAAAACAAATCTTTGAAATAAGAAGCACAGGCAAGAGAAATCTAAAGCTGAAAAACACAAATCCTTCATGTTTATACAATTCTCTCGTATGTTTTTTTATTATTTCTGTCCAAGTGGTTTTTATCATTTAAATTTCCAGGACGTTCCATCATATAGCAGCACCAGCAAGTTACTGTGTATGATTCTTTGTCTTTTAAAATCTGTTCCTGCCATTATTCAATTATTCATTTAATTTTAAAATTGAAGACAAACCAAGGTGTGAGGGAAAAGTTCATTAGATAGGAGTAGTGAATGTATGGTAGTGGTAGTTTGTTGAGCAGTCTGCTGCTTGTTAAGTTAGGTGTGAGTGACTAGTTCCCGCTATCCCCCCTCCCCTCCCTTTTTAGACCAGGTGGGAGGCGACCTGTGGAGAATCATTCATTCTGCTCCTGTCTAATTTATTGTTGGGATTTTGTCTTAAGAGCTTCACTCTTATTTGGAATTTTGGACTTAAATTTATTCCTGCCTTGATTTGAATTTTCAATTACTCTGTTTAATCCTCACCATTCGTTCGCATCGCTATTGGGCCGTGCGGACGGGCTGCGCAGTAGCTCCCACTTCACCTGGTTTCTGTGCAGTTTTCACTGATCAAACATGGTGGATTACAACGGCAGGAGGATCAACACAGTTTGCATTGAGCTGTTAAGGGGTTCTCTGAGCCCTGCTACGATGAACGCACTTCTTCCTGCAATTATTAGGGATCTATACGGCATCCCTAACGAGGAACTGTATGGTGTGGCCCTTAACGGGTTGAAAAGTATTTGTGAAGTTTACGAGGGCCAGTTTCTACAGCAGTGTGGTGGAGGAGTACCAGGAACGCCGAATGTGCCTCAACTCGACGATGGATGTGTGCATGCATGACGTATCTACTTACTACACGTGGGTACGAGTGAGAAATGTACCTTTTGAGGCGACCAAGTTTGGTATAGAGGACGTTTTCCGCAACTACGGAGTCATTCATGAGGCTAGAGGAGGGGTATGGCGGGATGGACCATATGAGGGCCTCCCGGAAGGTTCATACACTATCAAGATGACTTTAAAGAAGCCTATACCTTCTTATGTTATGTTGACAGGCAACAGAACTCAGGTATATGTGTCTTATGCGGGACAAAGGAGGACGTGTCGTCTTTGCAACTCTTATGAACATATAGCGGCGCAATGTGCACGTAGAGTTGCCCCAGGGGTGCCAGCCCCGGTGGAGGAGGTCCAGCAGACGAGTGTGGTGGCGACGGCGAAAACTGTGACTCCTCTATGGAGTGAGGAGGTGGAAAAGGAGGGAGAACAGTTGGGGACGTGTGTCACACTCCCGGTGGAGGATGGAGATCCTCCTCCAAAGCCTGTGGTGGTGGAGGAAGTGGCGGAGTCGACACAGGAGGTGTCCTTAGAGTCTGTGCTCCAGGAATTCTTGGAGGAGGCTTTGGTAGGAGAGGACATGGATGGACGGCCCAGTGATAGGCAGCGATTGCAAGGGCTGAGTGAGAAGAAGGGAGTAACAGGGAATAGTGGACAGGATACAGTTGTGGTGGCAGAAGTACACAGGGAGGATGTACCTGAGGAAGAGATGGCTTTGGGAGGCAGCTCTAGGAAGCGGCCAGAGGGGTTGACTGAATTAGACGACGTTTTAACACCTGGGCAAAGACCAGGTAAGAAGGCATGGGCAGAGGCGGTGCGAAAATCCCCTACAGGGGGGGAGTACAGGGAAAATCGGGGGGGAGAGGGACAGGGGGGGGTAGGGGGCCTTATCAAAAAGAGTAGTAAGGAAAGTGTGAGCAAATAAATAACAAAAAGGCACAATACCGTGACTGGAACGATACACAAATAACCCGCACATAAAAGAGAGAAGCTTACGACGACGTTTCGGTCCGACTTGGACAATTGACAAAGTCACACTTTGTCAATGGTCCAAGTCGGACCGAAACGTCGTCGTAAGCTTCTCTCTTTTATGTGCGGGTTATTTGTGTAAAGTGTGAGCAGCTTGAAGGGAAGTGTGAGTAAGCCACAGCAGCACAGAGGTAAGCCGCCTTTCCTTGACCATTCAGGTGTGTAACACTAAATGCTAATGGCCTCAAGACTGAAGTAAAAAGGGTATGGTTGGAGTGGTTCCTCAAAAGGTATGACGTGGATGTTTGTTTCCTACAGGAGCATAACCATAAGTCAGGTAGTGAGTTGCGATTGAGAGGATATAAGTTGTTTGTAAGCATGGCAATGCTTTTAAAGGGAGGAGTGGCTGTTTTAGTAAAGGAGACCAGTCCGTTGCGAGTCATGGGGTGGGAGGAGGGGGGAGGGTTGTTCGGGTGGATGGGTGGTGGGGGGAGAGCAGGGTATGTTTTGTGGGAGTTTATATGCCCGCGATTGGTAACGTGAGGATAAAAACAGATTTTGTTCGGGACGTATTGTTATACTATCTCAGGGGTTTACCTGCTATCGCGATAATTGGAGGTGATTGGAATTGTGTGATTAGGCATGGAGACGTAATACCTAGGGGGGCGGGGTGTGTGTTGGGTGTCTTACGGGATGCTTTTCGAGATGTCGGGGTCGTAGATGTGGTCGGCAGGGGGGAAGGGTATCAGGTGGAGCACACCTATGTACAGGGGTGTTATGCGGCAAGGTTGAATAGGATTTATGTTAGGCAGGGGATAGGAGTGGAGAGGGTTAGAACAGTAGACGTGGGTTTGTCTGACCACAGAGCAGTGATGGCTGACCTTCGGGTGGATGGTATTCCGAGAATATATCAGAGTTATTGGAAATTAAATGTGAGGCTTTTACAGGAGGAAGATCAAGGTTGGTCCTTTTAGGCATGGTGGAGAGGGTTTTGGGAGGCTAGGGATGAGGAGGTGGATTTGCTAGATTGGTGGGAGTTGCAGGCAAAGGTGCAGATTGCAGGATTTTTTAAGAGGGGCAGGGAACGGGCACGCTGGAGGTTTGGATTGCAGAATTATTTAGAGGGCCAGTTGAATGATTGTTATGGGGGGGGGAAGGTGTGGGAGGAGTTATGGGGGAACTTAAAAGTCGTTTAGTGGAGATGCATAATGAACGTTTTGATGCACTCAGGGTCAGGGCAGGCTTGGAGGACGTACTAAAAGGTGATAAGCCAACCGGGTTTGTACTCCGAAAATTCAAGGACAGACAGTTGAGGAATACCGTGGCACATATTGTCGTGGAGGGGGGGGAGGGTTATGTGCAGGAACAGGGTCTCTCTGACACAGATTGTATCAGTAGGTATACTGATTATTGGTTTACGGAAAAATGGAAGAGAAGGGGAGGGGTGGTTGGGTTAGAAACATTTAGAGCTATAGGGGTTCATCAGGGTTTGGGGCAGGGGGATCGGGACATGTTGGAGGGAGGCGTTAAGGAGGCAGAGGTGGGGGAGGTGGTGAATGGATTGAGTCAGGGGAAGGCACCGGGAATAGATGGGTTATCTAATGATTTTTCCAGAGCACATCGGGAGGATATGAGGGAGTGCCTAGTGGCGGTTCTGAATTATATGTTGAAACGTGGTAGGATGGAACAAACACAGAGAACTGGGGTTGTTGTTTTGGTGCCAAAGAAGGGGGGGGAGGAGAAGGGTTTGGTAGATTATCGTCCGTTGTCGTTAATGTGTACAGATTACAAAATTTTTGCGAAGGTATTGGGTAACAGGTTAAAGAAGGTAATTGGGAATAGCATACATGAGGGTCAGTATGGGATACCGGGACGGACTATGAAGAATGGGCACAGTGGGATAAGGGATTTTATAGAGAACTGCCAGGAGGGGGCGTCCTTGGCTTGGATTGGGCTCAGGCCTATGACTGCGTGAAGAGGGACTTTTTGTGGGGCTGTTTGGAGAAATTGGGTTTTGGAGGGGGGGTAGTGAGGTGGGTGCGCACTCTACATGAGGGGGCTGTCATGAGGGTGCAGGTTAACGGAAAGCTGGGGGGGGGGCGGTGATGATGGAACAGGGATTAAGGCAGGGTTGCTCGCTGTCACAGTTGCTCTTTGCATGTGTGCAACATCCTTTCTTTGAGGCTGTGGAGGAGGAATTGCGGGGGGTAGGGGGGGAAGCATGGGGGGAATAGTAGGTTATGTGGATGACTTATATAGAAGAAGGATTGTAATACTTTTACACACATTCATGTAGTGAATGTTACTATGTCAAGGATGTATAATTTGTGTTTCAGATAGGGAGATTAGGATCTTAGGTCCAGTCATTAACAAGTTTGATCTTAAGCTAGGATTTAGTTAGTTGTAGGTGAGTGCCTGTATAGTCTTCATTGAGGGGGTTTCTTGCCCCGTCCTTGTGTGGGGAGAACCAATTTGACATGTTTCAAGGTGATAATTCTAGTCTTGGATTATATTAAATATTTACATAACCTAGTTTTAAAGATGAGGTAGCATGTAATGTATTCTCTTATATTTTACGTGTAAACTCCAGGTTATACAATGTTGTTATGACAGTTTGAATTTCATGGTTGATTCATTATTATTGATATTAAATATTGTGGGTGTATATTCTTCCGCTTATACAGGTGTGTGTGTATAGGAATGTAATGTCATATCTGTTTTCGTATGTACTTTTATATTTTTGTGTTTTGTTTTGTTCATGCATCACCAACTTCTGGTAAATTCCCATTAAGGTTTAATGAGGTAAGGGTATATAACCCTAATTGTTAGGTTACTTAAGGTATTTCTTAGAACGGTGCATGTAAATATTTTTGTCTGCACTGGCATTATTAATTATTGTAAAAGGAGGAGTTTTGTAGGACATGTTGTTGGATGTGTAACTGGTGGTAATATGGTTATCAGCTATTAGTGTTATTTTAAGTACTGGGATTGTGTGATAGAGGTTATTGTTAATATCCAGTTTAGTTCTTCTTTTATTAAACTCTTATACATTCTTGTATTTGTTGTAAGTTTTAAATAAAAATATAAAAAAAAAAATCCTCACCATTCTTTTAAAGGTCTCACGTCTATCGTGTGAGAGATTTATCGAGTTGTGTGTAACTGAATTTTTTCTTCCGTATTTTAGCCTTGATTGTTGACTCTGTTCATCCAACGCATGCAGAGATATAGTTAAGTGAGTATTGTTTAAGGATCAAGAGACGTCGCTACACCTCTCTACCTGACACTGGTCCGGCCCTACCCTTCCACACGTAGAAGACAACCCAGTCAGTTACACTGCATTCTCCCAGTTACAACTACTCCAGCATTCCTGGTGTCTTGACGGGCTACTCAACTTCAACACTGTGGTGATCAGAGGATCAGTCCACCTCTCCTCGGCAGAATATACAAGCGTGTTGAGGAGCACTATCATTTGTCTAGTCACGACCAAATGTGACCCCCCCCCCTCCCCTACCCCCATCAACAACGGCTTGAGTTCCAGAATCTTTCAAAGCTAGACTGGTTATAAATGACCATAATTTTTAAAGGGGTGGACCGGTAAGCCAGCGGAAGGCCTCGGTCAGATGACCAAAAGCTCCAAAGGCGGGTCATCATCTGACTAAGACCCGCGTCAGGAAACATTTGTCCTGTTTCCTGACGAACCTTACCTAACCTAACCTTTCAAAGCTGTGTGCCCAGAACATCGCCACGGCACCATTCTAAACCCCACGACATCTGTGAATGAATTTAGCTTTGGATCACTAATTATTTACATATTTCATTTCTCTTAAAGTAGGATTAATTTCAAGATTAATTATTTTATATTATTGACTGATGTTTATTAGAATAAAATTGTTTAATTTATTCTTATTGAATTTTCTATATCTTTAGATAAGGAGGAGCCAGCCTTGTCAAATGCTTCCTCAGGGCCTGACAGGGCTGAGTAAACAATCTTCACAGTTGGTAGTGATGGTGACATTACATTTATCGTTTATTTATCTGGTCATAATCCTAGGATGATCTGCTCACTGGAGCTTTATTTTGGTCGTATGACTGAAGCTTTTATCTGGCTTTTTGGCACAATTTCCTACCATTCCTCATAAGAAACTAGATATGGTTTGGTTGCTTAACCATCCAGAAAGACCTCCCCGTATCTCACAAACCCAGCTTCCTCTACCTCAATGCATTGAAAAGGAATAGCACAGTGAGGCATAAGTTTTTGATATCGCTAAATATCAGAGTTGAAGATTTGATGTCGGGCAGAAGAGGCATTCACATGGAGATTAATATCTCATTTTGTTCAATAAAATTAAAATGGCATGTACAGTGCCCAAAAATAAAGTCGAGCTTTCCATTAACATACACCAGCTGTGAAAGATTATTCAATTTGAAGGAGGTATTCTTTACTTATCTTAGAGATCAGAATCTCAGAATCCTCCAACAGTTTTAATTTTCAGCTACTTAGTAGTTCCATCTTCAGGTTATCAAAGTTGATGGTACGAAGCTGATCAAATGATCGGCTTCGTACATAAATTGGCATACTGGCACGTACAAAGCATAAAATCTATCCAGTTCTTTCAGTAAAGAAGATAAACTTGGGGTGAAAATTTGAAACCGATCGGATGAGGTGTTCTCAGGTAATAAATGAAAGACCTTGAAGGGGGACCTCAATTCAGGTAGCCGCTTTGATGTGCCCTGTCGAGGATTGCTACATATCGTCAGTGTTTATATTTTGAGAGGTGCATTTACCTCGATGTGTATGCAATGAGAAGTGTATATACACCAAGATGGAAGAAATCACAGTAAAACGCGATGAATTTTAGGCCTAACAAACATAATGGAACATTACTCACGAAATCGTAATATGAATGCCTAGCTGGCCAATGGCTAACGCGTCGCTCTGGAGTTTCGTGACTCTCTGATAGCGGGTTCTAACCCCGCCCGTGGTATAGTTTGATAATGGAACATTTCCTAACCTCACCTAGCCTAACCTAAAAACACTGTATGGCATTGCCTCCCCAATTTTTTTTATACCTTTCCAATTGTTGTCTACTTACAATGTCATTAAATACCATGTTTCTTATTTCATCTGTAGTGGATGTTTTTGCAATACAAAATGCTATGATCAATTGTCTGCTAGTTCAGTTAGCATTTGAGAAGGAAGAAACAGCATTTTCTATAGAAGATATCTTGTCCAAGTTTAAAAAACCCAGATATCAATAGTTTAATCTATTACATTGTTACCCACTGGCCTCGTGTAATGTATTGTTACATTCTTAGCGTTTTTTCAGTGTTTTCGATATTTTTTCGAGATATTTAAATACTGGAGTATGTCTGACTATATGCATATGGAAAACAAAAGACGCTTCGCCCACAAGAGACTATATCATTAACATTAACATGCTTAAGGATATGTAATAAGACAAGCAGTTCATGGTATTTGATTAACGTTACGTCCACCAGATGATTTGTTAAGTAAAAGGACAATAAAATGCGACATTTTATCGTGGCAACGTTTTGTTCTCCAGGCTTGACAAAGTTCCTGGAGAGCGAAACGTTGCCACAATAAAATGTCGCATTACTTAACATATTGTCGGTAATTCTACAAACATTAATACACCAGATGATTGTCAGAGACTTTTAGTGTTTTAATACGAAGCATATATGATCTTAAGTAAATTTGTACTAAATATATCCAAGATTTATTATCATTAAATTCCTATGGTAAGACAAGGTATTGGGAGAACTTATCGTCACAACAGTGACTGTTTTTACTGTTTTTTTAAGGTTATAAGCCTGGCTTCGCTATCCCCTTCGCACGTAGTTCCATCGCTAGCGCACTCAGCTCTCACACTGAGGTCCGGAGTTCGAATATCTTCCGGTACGGCTGGAAAACATTGGGGATATGTTTCCATAAGAACCTGCTGTCCCTGTTCACCCATCGGTGTAAAATAGGTACCTGGGTGTTAGTCGACTGGTGTGGGTTGCATCCTGGGACAAAACTGACCTAATTTGCCCGAAATGCTCAGAATAACAAGCGGCTTTCTACATAGTAGTATGTCATTGATGTCAGCTAGGACTGTATACCTTGTATACCTTGTATACCTTGTATACCTTGTAGAAATAAAGATATTATTATTAACAAATCAACACAGTGGTTCCCATGTCATACTTCTGACTGGCTGACTTCCGTACTTTATTAATAAATTTTGGAAAAACGGTAAATGAAACTACACAAGAAAAATCGATAAATGAGTAATCATATATTTTATGTCCATAAGAGTTCATTTTTCCCACTGAAATGGGTTTATTAAATTTTTGCGCTAAATTTAGAAAACTTTTTTCAATATATATTTTTTTATTTGCAAATTACAGAACAGGCAATACGGGAAATATATATAGACTAAAATTATATTTTAATGCAAATGGCTGAGTCGACCAAAATTCATCTATGAACACATTGTGATGTCATACTGTCAACCTCATAAATTTTTATATTTAGAATATTTTTTATACAGCAGGTGCTTATATGGACATTATTATAAATTGTTACATGGGTGCAAAAACGTGAGTTCATTACCTTTGTAAATTGTGAGTTCATTACCTCTGTAACTTGCTCAGCTATCAAAACTTTGGAGTCCAGTCCCTGGACCAATTATGTACCTCTGTAATCTTTTGACTACCGCCCACAGGATGGGTATGGGGTGCATAATAAACATATTAAACTAACTGGTGTGTGGTACAAAACGTATGAAAGGAAATTTATCAAAAGATTACTCCAGGGAAAAGATTACCCTGTTCATTGTGTCTGTATACAAGTGTAGGTCTTTGATTTATTTCCCATAGGAGACACTTGTAGCAATTCCACTTTGGCCGTTGCTGTAACCACTTCCAAAAGAGCCACTGCTGAAACCTCCAATTGAGCTTCCACTGTAACTTCCTCCAATTGAGCTTCCACTGTAACTTCCTCCAATTGAGCTTCCACTGTAACTTCCTCCATTTAAGCCTTCACTCAAACCTCCAATGGAGCTGCCTCCGAAACCTCCAATGGAACTTCCTCCTAAACCTCCACCAATAGAACCATCATTATAACCTCCAATGGAGCTTCCTCCAAAGCTTCCTCCGATAGAACCATCATAACCTCCAATGGAGCTTCCTCCAAAGCTTCCTCCAATAGAACCGTCATCATAACCTCCAATGGAGCTTCCTCCTAAACCTCCTCCGATGAAGCCGCTTCCAAAACCTCCACCAATGGAACTGCCACCGAAACTATCTCCAGTGGGTCCTTCTGAGTACCCGCCACTGGAGCTGAGGCCCAAACTGCTAATGGAGCCACCATTATAGCCACTTCCTACGCTGCTTCCATATCTTCCTTGGGGTGCCCCAAGGGTGAAAGTGGAGTGAGAGGTAGCTCCCCCTCCAGCACCATAGCTTCCGACACCTCCAGTTGACCCAAACACTCTGGAACCTCCTGTGAAGCCTCCAGAAGAGGATCCGTAACCAACATTTCCAATAGAGGAGGTGGAAAAGGAACTCACACTCGCTCTAGCGTTAACTGAAGCCACCAGTAGGGCCCCGTTCATGAACCAAATCACCAGCTTCTGAAAATTAAAAACAGATCAGTACTTTCAGTTCCAATGAATATGATCACATTAAGGCTTTTACAAATATCTTCGCATCAACTTTTGTCAAATAAACTGAAATACTGTGAAAAAAAAATGACATATCAAATAAGTAATCCAAACTCGTCCCAAACTCAGAGAGGAATTTTAATAAATTCTACCTTTATGCAAGATAGAACAATTTATCTGTTCCCTGAAAAGCTATATCTTACCATAATGTTGATTGTAGTGAGGTGGGATGTGACCTGACAAAGAGAGAGGTGGTGGGACGGCTTATATATCCCCCAGTGCCAGCGACCTGTGCCTCATCCAGGGCCAAATATGATGCCAAGTACACGATTGTAAATGTATGTGGTTCCTTTCTCACTTAAAAAAAAAAAAAAACTCTTTCCCACACTCAGAATACATAATTTATGTATGTTAAGCTACGACTACAGTCTTATGATAGATATATTTATATAAAATTAACTACTTGTTCCTAAAAGGGGAAGCAACACTGACTTTTTTTTTTTTCCTGTAGCCTTCTACACAACGAAAAGTTAAATAAAGTGGGTCTTATGGTTGGCTGATATGCACACACAAAACCCAATGATTCACACCAAAACAAATGGCAGAAATGATCTGGCAGCATCATTCTTACCTTCATCCTTCGCACTGTTGCTGTTTACCTACTCGAAACAAACTTACGACATAGAGCAAACACAAGTTACTTACAGCACCCGCAGAACTCTTCGTTATCGTGATGAGCAGCATGTTAATGGGGATGTACGTTGTGTGTAGAAGTAGACATGTACGCGTAGAGATTTTCTTAGTAATAATATTAGAAGTAGAACTAATATTAGTAACTATAGTAGTAAAACGAAAAAATTTGCAACACAACGCTGTAATAACGTGTAATAATAATAATATTTTTACTGCGGCTGGAAATTAACCACGACATATCCTAAGTAACTATTAGATTCATGTATCTTTTCAGATAATATATCAAAATATGTAGGTCTTATTACCCAAAAAACTCCTATTATATTAATTAATATTTTATTATTATACTCATTGGGAAAAAGAAGGTAATCAATTTTGACCCGAGAGAGAGAAGGCCAGTTCTAATTCCTTGGATCAAGATCCCTTCCCCAACACCTCAGCATTCACTTTTGAAGGTTCAGGCGTCGAGTAAATAAAGAGATAAGAATATATATACTAAAATTACTAACTTTAACTGATTTCCTAAAATAATACGTTGAAGATGGTTAGATTATTTTAGTCTACCTTGCGAACATTTTTTTTCTCTAGATCGACCCTAGAATTCCTAGAAAATTATTAAATAATATGGACAGTTTTCTTCTAATTAGGCGTTAATTTTATTTTTCAGACAATTTAAAATTTTATTTGTGAAATATTTGCTAAATATTTTCACAGTTCTTTGTTACAGTAATTTTTGTATTTATTCTACGCAGTATATATACATACTAGGTTAGCGACCGGATATATACACGGGTGTCACTCAGTGTATATACTCCGAGAGGCGTGTGTTTCACAGGGTATATACACGGAGAGGTCTGTCTCGCATGGTATATACACCGAGTGGTGTGTATTTATAAACATACACGAGATGCGTGTATCTTATTGAGTATATACACTTAAAGGTCTGTGTCTTTTAGTGTATATACCCCGAGAGTTGTGTATACCTCTGTGTATATACACCAGGAGGGGTGTATCACAATAAAAACACCGAGCGGGATGTATATCTCAATATGAACTCCGACAGGTACGTATCTTTAAGAGTATATACCCCACAAGATGTATATCTCTCAGTGTATATATGTGGAGAATATATTTTAATCCCTTTTTCGGCGTCAAACAGTATTGAAGGTGTGAGTGTACAGGTGATAGTTTACCTTAATGAGCCAGGTGCAATCGATAGACTTGAAACTCGACAATGGCAATCATGGCTGCGAAAGACGTACTGCCAACAACAGTGAAAAGAACAAACATTTCGCTCGGTTTTGAACTTTAGGCCCTGAAACGTCGTTCTGCTATGTATGTCTTTACTTCATTTTCTCACGACTCATTTTCTGTTTTAAACATGGTATATTGTGTAATATTTTATAAATTTACTTTGAAAATACTACTGTAACTTTGCAGAATCTTAGGGAAATCGAAGTAGCCACATAAAGTAGGTGAATTTTTTCTGTTTTTCAAAAATATAACCAAATATATCCTAGTAAATCTGCATCTACTTTTTTTAATTCATTCCAGTTTCTTTTTTTTTTAATATTCCAATCATTTTTTTACAAATCGATTTTGTTTTATTACCATTTCTCCAATAATATTTCTCAATCCTTTTGTTTTTGTTTCCAGTCTTTTATCGTCTTTACCAAATTGTTTAATAATCTTTTGCGAGGTTCAATTCTATGTCAATATGTTGATAACGTGTAAACACGCCAGGGTTCACCAGTGTTTACAGAGACTTCACCGGGTGGGTAGTGTTTGTTTTCCCGGCCTCTCTTACCCCGCTGGACAACCATCCCCTGAATTGCATCTGGGATGGCAAGTAAATACCGAAAATGTGGAGTAAAATACGCTTGGATAAAGTCCACTGTGTAGGCGAAACGTCATTAATAAAAGTACGCATTACGCTGGCAAGAGGTGGTTGTTTTAGGAAGGTACCCCAGTACGCCATCATTTACTCAACTCTTGAATTGTCTACCACGCTTGGTAGTAAACCGTACGTTTCAAAATCGAAAAGACCGGGTTTAATCCCGGGTGATATGCATGGTCACGTCTACTCCTATTACTTGCAGTTGCTATCACCGTGAAGTAAATAAATTCCTGTGAATTTTTTAATTGTTGTGGGTTGCATCCCGGGGAAATAAGACATGCCCCTTGGGGTTTAATAATCAATATAAAATCTTTTTCTCCTGTGTTTATCCTTAAAACTGCAAAGAAAAATATGTTAACAGTTATTAACTGATCTTCAAAGGATCATTACGACTGCATGCAACCTGTACCTACCAGTCAAAAATATCTGAATCTCAAAAATGGGAATTAAAGTTACCACATTTTTCGGCATATAAGGCGCGCTTTTTCTCAGTCTTGGAAAATCAGCCAGCGTCTTGTATGCTCAAGATAAGGGTCAAGGATAGGCTTTGGGATACACTTCAGCAGTTGTTTACTAACGTTACGTTAAAAACTACTTGTAAACATCGTATTATATGCCTTAAACGCTCATGCGCCTTATATGCCGGAAAATACGATAACTAAGCATGCCTATACTCGCACACCCCTCAAGGAAGGTTCCTTGATGTTGGTGAGGGGCTCTTGATTTAGGGAATTGGATCTGTGCTCCAGTTCCCCGAATTAAGCCTGAATGCCTTCCACATCCCCCCCCAGGCGCTGTATAATCCTCCGGGTTTAGCGCTTCCCCCTTGATTATAATAATAATAATAATATACTCGCACAGTGAGAGACATACACCTCACGGTGTATATATCCTTCATCTCTCTCCTTCCACCCCTCAAGGAAGGTTCCTTGATGTTGGTGAGGGGCTCTTGATTTAGGGAATTGGATCTGTGCTCCAGTTCCCCGAATTAAGCCTGAATACCTTCCACATCCCCCCCCAGGCGCTGTATAATCCTCCGGGTTTAGCGCTTCCCCCTTTATAATAATAATAATCTCTCCTTCCAGATTATCGGAAGGTACTTTTTTTATTATATATGGCACTAGGTTAGGTTAGGTTAGGATTGATAAGGTTAGGTTAGGTTAAGATAGGTAAGGTTAGGTTAGATTAGGTTATTACGATAGGTAAGGTAAGGTTAGGTTAGGTTAAGATAGGCAAGGTTAGGTTAGGATTGGTAAGGTTAGGTTAGGTTAAGTAAGGCTAAGTTAGGCTAGGTTAGGTAAGGTTCGTCAGGAAAGAGGACAAGTGTTTCCTGACACTGCTTCACGCGCTTGTCACTAAACTGTAATTGTCTTATAGTTTGTTTTGCAATTTTCTATTTCGGTTTATAGATTTACATATCGTAACATTATGAGTCATGTTATATGTTTAAAAATTAGATGACTGCTTTTTTAAAGTTTATTTTTTTCGATAAAGTTGGATATACGTGGTTTAATAGATAGGCTTTCTAGAAGAGTAGGATGCGACGTGTACACACACACACACACACACACACACACACACACACACACACACACACACCAGGGGCCAGGAGCTCGGACTCGACCCCCGCAACCTCAACTAGGTGAGTACACACACACACACACACACACACACACACACACACACACACACACACACACACACACACACACACCAGGGGCCAGGAGCTCGGACTCGACCCCCGCAACCTCAACTAGGTGATTACACACACACACACACACACACACACACACACAGGTAAGGTGAACCGAGACAGGATGTTCCAGAGATGGGACACAGAAACAAAGGGTCACAATTGGAAGTTGAAGACTCAGATCAGTCAAAGGGATATTAGGAAGTATTTCTTGAATCATAGAGTTGTCAGGAAGTGGAATAGTCTAGCAAGTGAAGTAGTGGAGGCTTAAGACGAGGTATGATAAAGCTCATGGAGCAGGGAGAGACGGGACCTGGTAGCAATCAGTGAAGAGTCATGGCCAGGAGCTGAGTCTCGACCCTTGCAACCACAAATAGGTGAGTACAAATAGATGAGTACACACACACACACACACACACACACACACACACACGCCAGCACCCACGCATTTCCTTCCATACTTAAGAGGCAAAGCATAAATTTTCAACTGGCACAAAATCCTAACACACAAAATCCTTACGAGTTTTAATTATTTTATACAACAGCTCAGCATTAATATAATCCAGGATGGTACTAACGTCCTGTTTAATGAGTCTGAAATCCACTACCTCAGGTACTGGGTAACCATCCATATATATAAGAAAACCATTATTGCTGTCATGGCCGAGTCATAAATAAACATCAGACGTTCCCTCGGTAACCTGTTGTTATAATACAGGTGTCCTTTATGGTAAACAAAATAAAGCGTTTGTAAGCAGAACGGAGCTAGCGTGAAAGAAGAACAATGTAAAAATAAAAGGAGAAAACGTTAGCAAGCAATGTGACGTAAAAGTACGTGGATGAAATGTTTTGAATGTTTAAGTAGGGCGTCTTAGATGCAACATGTATTTTTTTTTCACTGGTTCCTCAAATTGCCAATCCCTTCCCCCCGCAGAACGATCTCAGACCAGACCTCCAAAACTGGAAATAAGATGTCACAAGAACAACAATTATTCAAAATTACACAGGAAAGCATAATATATACCAAATGTGAGTGAAGGATTTTAAGATTTATTTGCTACCTTGCATATTCTTGAGACAAAAAAAAAGACCAGTAATGCTGTCATAATGCTAAACATTTATTCTTGAGACAAAAAAAAAGACCAGTAATGCTGTCATAATGCTAAACATTTATTCTTGAGACAAAAAAAAAAAGACCAGTAATGCTGTCATAATGCTAAACATAAACATTTACTCTTGAGACAAAACAAGACCAATAATGCTGTCATTGTGCTAAATATTTAACAGGTTTCTGTTACACACTCACATTAAGCACGTAAGTGGACGATTAGTAGTTATCAACTTACTACCTGATGTAGAGAGTTTCGCACTGTGAACGGAGGGTAGTACCACCCTGAATGGTTACCAACCTAGTACCTGAGGTAGTGAATTTCAAACTCTTTAAACAAGACGTCAGTACCATCCTGGATTATGTTAATGCTGAGCTGTTGTTTAAAATAGTTAAAACCAGTTTCTCCTTAACACTGAAAGTTGCACGATAAGCTAACAGAAAAATTGCTAATTACATGAGGTGATTGCTGTAGTAATTAGTAATAGGTGAAGAATCATTATGAAGCAAGTACATTGCCCCTGTGATGAACACAGACACTTTCCAGTACTTTCAGTTCACATCGTGTTGCACAAACAGGGAATGTTTATGCAAAACCCTTGCACCTACAGACGCAACTTAGTAAACATCGTCTTAGCGTTGCATGAAGCAACATTTACGAATCCTTGCCTGGGTTCAACCGTTTGTTTATTAACTGTAATTTTTGTTCTATCAGTTGTAGATGTATGATTAGATCTTCATCCAAGGAACTGGAGTTAACCTTCCCTTTCTTCGAATCAAGCAAACTTACTTCTTGTATAACCCAAACGGGTTTAGCGCCTGTCAGTGAATATAATATTATTATTATTAGTAGTAGTATAGTTCTCATTATTTTTAATATTACTATTATTTAGCATTTTTTCCAGCAGGTCAGTTAATAAGTTTGTCAATGTATCTCATCTCATCCCCTGAAACAGCTAATTTAATATTATAATTTTATGCAGATCGAAAGGAATTAAGCTGATCCTCTGGTGGTCAGAAGCTCAAAGTTTACAGGATCGAGCCTTTGTGTATCTTTGTGTTGAATAGTTAACAAGTGTTTAACTCTTCGTGAGAATTAAGATTTTAATTATAATTGATGATTATAAACTGGTTAATTTTGCAAGAGAAATTTTACATATTCTGGTTATATTTAATTTCATTGAACTGTACAAGAATGAGGTAAATTATATAATCGTTGAATTTGAAGGATAAGAGCTGGTATCCGTCCTCAGCTCATTTCAAAGCCAAGTCTTATGTGAGGTGTTCTACCACACCTAAAGTAAAGTTCATAACCACTAGCTAACACCCAGGTAATTATTTACTGCTAGATGAACACAGACAACAGATGTAAGGAGACTTGCGTATTGTCTCTACTCTCTCAAGAGTGAACCCGAAGGTTTTTCTTCAGAACTACAAACCTTATTATAGTGATTCACCCAAGGAAACACATGCACGTATCATAACAAAAAGCACTTTGACGGAAGGAGCAAATATAACACAGCGTGAACGCATCCATCTGATACAAGCCAATATACTAGTGAAAAACAGATTGTTACCAGTATTGATTTCCATTCGAGATTTCCCTAAGAAGTCACCCCGAAGCCGAAGCCTCTGCGTTGAGAGTATTAACTCTCTACATAAAGTAACAACATAAAAAATAATGAGCCAAGAGCTGAAAGGCCACGAGCCAGCGGCCATATTTCTGCAATGGATGCAAGCTAATGTGGCCACCCAGAACAGTACAGACCAATCATTCTAAAAACTCCTCGTTGTCATTGCAGACTATTAATGACATATGACTAAATTGATAGAAATGATGGTGTGTACCCCGTATTAAGATAAATTACATGGAAAAATAAGCACAAATGCAATATAATGTGATACTTTATTCACAACGTTTCGCCCACACAGTGGACTTTATCAAGTCACAAACAGATCTACCTGAGTAAAGCGTATAATTATTAACAGTGTAACAAATTAGCTATAGACTTAATCACTACTCAGTTCTGGGGCAAGCAGCTTTCACTCGGTCAAGAATTAATCATTAACGATTCTTGTGCACTCTTGGTGGATGCTCTTGAGTTAAGAATGAATTAACTTCTGATACTAGTTGAAATAAACATTTGCAGATAAAGAAACATCGATGCTAATAACTCCAGAAAGTTTACTATTTAGAATAAATATACATTCGGAATACGATGATTTTTATTAATCTATACGAACGGTATACATATAGTCCACTACATAGGATTACTCTAGTTCATTGTTGTTATTATTACACAAATAACCCGCACGTAGGAGAAAGAATCTTATAACGAAGAAGCTTATGTCCGACTTGGACTATTTACAAAGTCACACTGTGGCTTTCTAACTGGTTCGGTTATTTTCGACTTGTTTGTATATTGTTCCAGTCACGATATTGTGTCTCCTTTTGTTCTTTATTATTTTTATTATATTCGTAAACATGCGCTGAATCCAAATTGGTCATATAGCGTTTTGTTATTAATATTGTTAGTAGGCCATTCGGATTCAAAAGCTGCTTAGGTTTATTTTCAATTTTTTTGTGAAGTCCTGGCCTATATCATAAAAAAATGTGTAAATAAGTTTATAATTGTTGCTCCCATGTGCTCTCCTTTCTGAATATAAAACCAACCATGAAAGAGGTAACGAAAATTTATTCCATAACTAAAACCTGAAATCTTGAGTACCGTATTTCGCGGCTTATAAGACGCGCCTTGTAAGACTTGTTTTAGTTTCAGTGGCTCGGCATCGGACGTAACTGGGAGAGCTACAGCCCATCCCACACTCCAGACTTGTAGCTCCCGTCACTGACCTTCAGTTTATAGGACTCAGGGTGGTTTTTGGAGACATTTTATGGAAAAAGACATGCGTCTGTTTAGCCACGAAATACGGTATGTATTACAGAAAAAATAGGATTTTCGAGGATTTTCGATACCTGGTGAAGAAAAAGTATAGTGGACTTTTCATAACTAAAACTGATCAGTTACAACTAAATACTACTTCCACGAATGACATATATCATAATGAAATAGATTAGTCGATGAGTGAAACAGTTTGCCTAGAAGGGTTATTGAATCTAAAACCTTGTGTAGCTTCAAATTTAGGTTAGATAAATACACGAGTGGGGGAGTTTGTATTTAATTGGGATTTGTCACGAGTTATTAGGGTTATCGAAGCTTATTGTTTGCGTAGCATTGAAAATGGGTTGGGCAAATATTTTTGTTAGTAAGTTTAGGTTTGAGAATTATTTGCCTAGTATGGGCCAGTAGGCCTACTGCAGTGCTCCTCCTTATGTTCTTATAGGAAATGCTTGTTACTTAGTGTTTAATTGGAGTGAATAAGTATTTACATCATTTGCTTGAGTGAGAAAATCCTATTCACTAGCGATACCACTGTGTGGCATGATTATATTTATATTCGTGCCCTGTGCTTGTATTTCTACTTTCCATAGCCGCCGGAGCTCCCACCCTTTGGAGAGCCCAAGTTGAAATTGATGTTGGCTTTACCAGGAACGCCTCCAGAAGAACCATATCCTCCAGATGAAGAGCTGTAGCCTCCTCCTCCAGACGACCCATAGCCACTACTTCCTCCAGAAGAACTATACCCTCCAGATGAAGAAGAACTGTAGCCTCCTCCTCCTCCTCCTCCTCCAGACGACCCATAACCTCCTCCAGAAGAGGTGTGGCCACCACTACCTCCTCCAGAAGATCCGTACCCTCTACTACCACCTCCTCCAATGGAGGAAGTAGAAAAAGAACTTACAGAGGGTGTGGCAGAAGACATCGCTACCAGAAGAGCAACTCCGCAGGAGACAACAACAAGCTTCTGAAAACACAAGAATCCTTCGTCAGTAACATAAAGTTTCTATCATTCAAATATTCATGGGAAAACCTGACCAGTAGCAGCCGATAGGTGTGAAGAGGAAGACCTGTGTAAGCAGAACAAACTTTTAAATGGAAAATTTGTCTCCCAAATTTCAGTTATTTCATGCCATTGGAGAAGTCCTGCTTAGAGGGAAACGTTTTGGAAAAAAAGGGGTTTGATGGTGTTCCTACTCATCACTGTGTCAGAAATATTCTTGAAGTAACTCAAAAGTAATAAGGCCACTTATCCTTTCTTATGTTTCTTCTTGTTAGGCAAAGGGAGACAAGTTAACAGATGTGGCATTTTACTATGGCAACGTTTCGCTCTCCAGGAGCTTTGGCAAGCCTGACAAAGATCCTGGAGAGCGAAATGTTGCCATAATAAAATTTCACAGTAGTTGCATTATGTCCTTTTACTGAACATATTGTCGGTAGCTCTACCAACATTAATACAATCTATCTTTTCCTGTCTATCTACTACCTTCCTTGTTGTTATATTCTGCCCCAGTCCTTTACTTAGCTAGTTTTTCCCTTCATTTGGTCTAACTAAAAAAAAAAACGCCTCCTGCATTACATAAATGCTGGATTGCATTTCTTATAATGCTGTGGACCCATGCGGGGCATTAATTTCACGGAATAGTGGAACAGCTTTCATCCTCCTCCTATTCGCTGCACTGTCTCTGATCCCTCAGACTGTTAGTGATCATCTGAGGTTATCTGGAGAAAACAAAGTTGCTTCTTGTTTGTGCTAAGAAGCAAGACTTCCGAGAAGATAGTAAAATGTTTTAGAACAGAAAAACATGTCATTTTAAGTGAGTTACCCAAAGAAATTCACAATTTGCCCGCAAAGTGGAAAAGGAAACCCGTAACGAATGTATAAGATCGGAAGTGAATGCTAAATTTACATGACAGTAATGCTATGAAAGTCATGCTCGTGTTGTTGATATGTTTTGACCGGTGACTGAAGTGAACTAGACTATATGGAGTCCTTAAAAGTAAACTTGTATATAGACGTAGGGCTTAAGAATAGAGTGAACTAGAGAATAAATACCATCCATTCAGTACGGAAAGACAACTTAAGACTGGAGTGAACTTGAATATAGAAAGAATTCTCATAACTTGGGTGAACTAAAATACACGAGAGCTTATGACTAGAATATAGATTGATAATAGAATATAGCTAGAAAATAGAATATAATTACAATATAGAATATATTTGGAATATAGAAAACTTCATGGTAGGAATAAATTAACATATATTAGAAATATTTGTGGCAAAGAACATTTTTTCAACGCTTTGATGATGGTCAGGGACAAGCATAACTTACCATAATTGTACCTCTTGCGAGAGCTGACCTAATCAGTTAGAATCTGACTTGTTCCTTCTTACGCCGGTGAGCTCTGTTGTAGCAAGCTATGACGTGGCTATGGGAACAATACTGCGAGGAGCTTAAGTCAGACTTATATATGCATCAACACACTCGGTGCTCTTCATACCAGAACATCTCGACATATATGTTTCCAAATTAGTTATATTTTTTTGCCCCCCTCGTACTACACCTGTCATTATACCATTTTTTTTCACTGGGTGCTTTTAAAGAGAATTCCATGAACTGGAGTTAGTGCGAGTTTGCATGTTAAAGAATCGGATTTGGATTGTAATTAGAAATACTTTGCCTGTAGTTTACTGGCAACTCCTCTGAAGGTTATGGAGTCGTTACAAAGCACTTTCTTAATTACTGAACAATCAACGTTATGGACAGACGCTCTCAGCACTCAACAAGTGTAAACGTTTTTCTAATACCCGATACATTCAGATATATACAAGGCGATAGTCACAAGTATACAGAATATTCTGACAATTGTTTACACTTTTGAAATAAATGAATTACTTTAAAATAGAGAGGAAGAGTGCTTTGTTTTACATATGCAATCTTCTGTTTAATATGACTCGCAAAATCGTATTTACAAGACCTTAAACTACTCAAGGAACAATGTTTCGCTCAACAAGAGCGAAACATTGTATTACACAACACGGCTCTCTGCCTTCCAACCAGTGCCTCTCGGAGGCCCAACATAACCTATAAATTTTGAACGTTTCGTGTGAAAATGAATGCTCGAGATGGGACGATATTCCCCCAAGAATTATTATTATTGTTAATAGTCACGAGAGGAACACTAAACCCGTAGGTGTCATACAACGCTTGGAAATGGGACGTAGTCAGGTTCAATCTAAAGAAGGGAAGGTCATACGCAATTCCATGAAAAATGGCAATAATAATATTCTTTATTTCTAGAAGTAAGTGTTACAACTTATACAGGCCATAGCTGACATCAGTGACATAATTAGTATACAGAAAGGCCCTGGTTGTGTGGAGTATTTCGGGCAACTTAGGTTAAACTTGTCCCCCCAGGATGCGACCCACACTAGTCGGCTAACAACCAGGTACCTGCTTGCTGCTAGGTGAACAGGAGCAGCAGGTGTCTTAAGGAAACATACCCAATGTTTCCACCCGTACTGGGGATAGAACCACAGACCTCAGTGTGTGAGCTGAGTACGCTACCAACTGGACACCTATCACCACCATCAACGAACCTCCACTTAGGTATGTCAGACTAGCGATTTTTTTTTAAAATCGGTACTCTACTGTAATTATACGAAAGAAGAGTTAGTATACTTCAAACTATCCTAACTGAGAATAAGTAAAATTAAACTGTCCGTACCATTGCCCTACTGAAGTCTCCTTGCTCAGGCTAACAGATTTCATCACCCTGTTTAAGCTTCTTCCTACATGATGGAATATCACAGGAAAATATAGCATTTGTTCCCTCAATGTAACTATCATATAGAATAGAATGGCAGTACACTGCTGTTTACAATTGTGTTCAATTAAAACAAAGGAGCCATTTCGAGCGAGCAGAAATGCACGCTCTAATTAGAGAACAGGTTGCGGAGCCAGATTACAGCTGCTGGGCAGTGGTCAACATTACACGGAAGAGAGAAGGCCTTCAGGCAGGGAATAAGTATACACAGCAAGCTTTGTGTTTGTAAGAAGCACAAGCATGCACTCTCTCTCATTGTTTTATTTCTCTCTCTAAGACTCTTATTGTTGCTGGTTTATTCTCAATAGAAAACCACCTGACACGGCTCTTTGTAAGATGATCCGTTTATTTCTTTTTTATTTAGCATAACTGGATACAGAGCAAGCTTTGCTTTAGACGATATTTTGCCAAGGCTTGCTCTGCATATCACTTCATTATACCCATTTGTTGCCCCAGTCATCGTAAATTAACTGGCCATCTAGTGACAAAACGCACGTCAGGGATGTTCCTTGACAAATACGATATTTTCCCCTTAGCCAGGATGGCGCCATGATTAGTGGGTGGAAGATCAAGCTGACATCACTCTTTTGACCTAAATGACCCAAGCGAGTTTATCGCTTCACATGATTAAATTTAAAAATAAATTTCCTTGACAAGTACACCAAGAACTAGAACTAGAAGAACTCACAGGTGAGGACCCAAAAGGGGGTAGGGGGAAGTGAGGTTAAGTGAAGAATAGGTGGGGGAGAGGAAAAGGCTACAGAAGTAAGAAATACGCCGGGGATAAACTCAGTAGCATTGTAAGGTTTAAAGTAAACATACCGGACACCAGTTTCCACTAGAGAAACCAGACGTGAGAGTGGTAGCCTTCACAAGTCACATTAATTCATCAGAATCAGGAATGTGATTGAAATTTCTTGCTGAGTGAAGTAGCCTGTACGTCTTAGACAGTTTTATATTAGTTTATTTATTACATATACTATTTTTGGGTTACTTACATATTAATCGTGTCAAATATATTTGTACCTTCTTTCAGGTGTCGTTGCACATTCTTCAAGTCCACTGTTTGATTACGTCACTGTTGTGACCAAATTTGTAACTTGGGAATAATTGTGGTCTTGCTGCTCAGTCTTACACATGAGGTCCTGTGTAAGAGTGAAATTATTCATTGCTTATCCTGGGAATTGTTGGACTAATTATAGTCTTGCTACCTCTCATATACCTAAGCTTCTGTGAAATATTAATTTTCCTACGAAGCTTATCCAGAGAATTTTGTGCTGCACTAATTTACGGCTTATTTTATGGATGGTATCCTTGTGGGTCGTGACATGTGTAGCAAGGTTACGTTATTCTCTTGCTGTTATTTATGTACAGTACACACACCACACTATATATATATATATATATATATATATATATATATATATATATATATATATATATATATATATATATATATATAAACTATTCAAGCTCGAGGTGAAGCGTACGGACGAGTCCCCTTACGGACGAGTCCCCTTATGCATGGTGCATGTGTTCTTCCAGCAGTAAATGGATCCCTCGAAGTTAGTGAACTGTTGTGCGTCGCATCCTAGGGAAAGAGGGCCAAAGGATCCCAGCTGAACTAAGCCATATAGCTTGGCTTTCCTGGGTTAATACCTCGTAAGAGTTAATAATCGTATAAAAGTTTTTCTTTTGTGTTTGCATTTGCTGAACCATTAATTTTTCAGGAATATTTGCTACAAATTTAGCACAAGAGTTTTGAAACTATGACCCAGCACTTCAAAGGCATAATACGGAGGAGACTGTTATGTACAAATTAAATTCAGTTTTAAATAGCAGATGTATAAATAAAATAACATATAACCAAGGCAAATCCCGAAACACTGGATCCACGTATGATAAATTCAGATCTATAAAGTATATGGAAAAGCATCGGTTAGGCAAAAGGACTGTAGAGAATCAAATCAACAAAGTGTATCACTGAAGGAAAAACATTTTGTAGTTATAAAAATGAGTTGGACAAACGGGTGGGAACGGTAATGTCCTCATATTCCGTTTACCTGTTGGGTTCTTGGGTTTAAGAACTATGTCCCAAATTTTGTTGCACGAGTAAATACAACTTTACAAACTCCAAAATTAAAATTCCAGTTTGTATTAAACAACGCAGGCCGCAACGCGTAATCAGAATAATATTTTTTATATATTTTCATGCACCGAGGTGAGAGTTTATCGAGTATCGACACTTAAGCAACAAGTGAGAGAACTTCCATAATGACAGTACATAACACCCCATGTAAAGCAATATTTGTAATGTTGACTCTATCCTTGGTTGGAAATATAAACACATATGCAGTATAATGTGATCCTTTATTGACTACGTTTCGCCCACACAGTGGGTTTTTCAAGTCACAAACAGGAGTTTTGTTTGTGACTTGAAAAAGCCCACTGTGTGGGCGAAACGTAGTCAATAAAGGATCACATTATACCGCATATGTGTTTATATTTCCATTGTGTCGGTATTTTATACCATTTATTTCTATCCTTGGTTGTTTCAAAACACAGATATCATTACTTTTACAAGAAATATGTAACATAACTGGTAACAGAAGCTGGAGACAGAATATTCATGATTAACGCGGAGAAATAGCATTGATCCGACATAGAAAGTTACTAATGAAGTGTTGAGGAGAGTAAAGTTCCTATTCAAGAAGTTAAAAATAATATTGTCAATTTCTTCCCGTTGTCAAATTCTTCCAATCTTCATGTCACGGACTGCCAGGTTTCATAAATATTGCATTTCGAAAGTATTTGCGGTTGAATATCTTAAGAATTTCGTGTTCCATTCTCAATAAATGATCTGGCGAGTTAAAATGTAAGACTTGATTTATTTAACAAGAGTCTTGTATCATTTAGCAAGCGTCTTAACTTACTGAACAATTGCGATAACAAGCGCAATGGCAAAAAAAAAAAAAAAAAAAAAAAAACAAGATACAAAAACAGCAATTTCTTTACCCTCTATTCCATGACTTTGCAAAGATAGTCAGTTGCAGTAAGAGGCCGGAAGACGCAGGGATCCGTTATACTCACAGGCATTTTGGAGACCAGAATGACAGTGCAGATCTCCGAGTTTGCGAACTTGCCACACATTCAAATCATATTTGCCTACCCTCCTGTCCACCTCTGTGGCTTTAATGAGAGACAGTGTTAAGATTGTGTACCATTGTGTTAGTGGTGGTGGTATTTTAATTGTCAAGAGTCTTCGGAAAAGTTTCTCTTGACTCTGGTCCAGTAATATGATGGCAGAAGTGTTTTATTTGTCAAGAGAAATGGGAACGTTTCTCTTGGAAACGTTTCTCTTGGTATGACCTAGACCATTACCAAAACCACTCGCTACTAAATAATAGTCCAGGACTGATTGAAATGTCGCCTAGTTTTGTTTACAATTTATGAATTAGTTTTGATTTGTTGCAGGCAAGGTCCTGCATTCTTCATTCTTATTAAACTCATCAACAATAAATTAATCAGAGTTAGGGTGGTAAACTGAAGAAATGGTTACAAAAAATAAATTTAACTACAACTGCAAGGCTTCCAGATGAGCTCCAG